GGTTCGCCCGGTGTATGCTTTAATATGTATGATGTGATGCATGTGATGCTTGTATGTATTATTGCATGGTGGATGATTGTGGCTTAGTTATATTTGTTGTAATTTTAAATACGGCCTGCGTGCCGTGCCTCATCTCTATACTCTGGATGTAATTCTCTTCTTTACCTCAAATATTCTTTTCTCTCGAAAATTATAAGAAGATAAGAAGACGAAGTCCGTTCGTGATAGAGAATCCTAAGGAAGACGTGATGGGCCGGAGATAGAGATCTCTTGATCAAGGCGCTATCGTTTGTTTTTCTTTAGGAGCCACAATCATTTCACGTTTACTTATTATGCATGTGATGTATGATTGAATGTATGCATGTATGTGATTTTCGCTAGTTCATACGCGCGGTGTATGCCATAGGCAAGACTGCGTTATAAATCCCTCATAATTTTAAGTCTGTGTCACCCCGACGCCCCGTAACTCGTCAAACCCAATTTAGATTGGTAATGGACTCACCCAAGTGAGACGCCCGGTTTACATTGGTTAGGCGCGAAACCCGTAACTAGGGTACTGACTCGCCCCGGGTTAGTCTTAACTAAGTCTTGGTCATAAGGATGAGAGACTTAGGGCACTGCGGTAGGATCAATAAAAAAACAGATCATCCAACCAGAGTTGTAAATTGTTACAATTGGAATTTATTCCTACCAGAAATAATTTAATTGTAGGGCAAGATGCAAAGCACAACTATAGTTAAATGAAATATGGATCTGGCCCAATTAAGAATTTTATTTAAAAGAATCCACCGAACCAAGAGTTGCAATAACGATTGCAATTGGAATGAATTCCTACCTAAATAACTTGACTGTAGGGCAAGATGCAAAGCACAACTATAGTTAAGTAAAATATGGATCTTGGCCCGCTAGGGTATTCTTCAAATAGAGACCCCAAGTCAATAGGTTCCGTACCTGAGGGTAATTGACTTGTTAGAAATAGTGGGAGAGTATTTAATAAATACCTATTAGATACTTAATTCATGATAATAACTATCTTTGCAAAATTCTGTAGATGGCAAACAACAACACAAACAACCTCGCCCTGCGTTCCATTCTGGATAAAGATAAATTGAACGGAACAAACTTTGTTGACTGGCAACGCAATCTCTCCATTGTTCTCTGCATGGATGAGAAAGAGTATGTGCTCGAAAAGCCCATTCCTCCTGCCCCTCCCGCTAACGCCCCGAAAGCGGTTAAAGATGCCTACGAGAAACACGTTAAGGATGATAACCAGGTTAGCTGTGTCATGCTGGCAACCATGATAACTGAGCTGCAAAAACCGCACGAGGACATGAAGGCCCACGAGATGATCGTGGCCTTGCGGCAGCTATACCAGGGGCAATCCAGGCATGAACGTTTTCTTGTGAGTAAGGCTCTCTTTAGTTGCAAGCTCTCTTCAGGGAACCCGGTCGGTCCACAAGTTCTCAAAATGATTGGTTACATAACCAATCTGGAGAAACTCGGCTTCTCCTTGCAGAAGGAGCTGGCAACGGACCTGATCCTGCAGTCGCTCCCTGAGCTGTATAAGGGTTTTGTCATGAACTACATGATGCATGATCTTGACAAACCCCTTCCGGAGCTTCTTAAAATTCTCCAGACTGCAGAGGAGAACCTTACTAAGGGCAAGGGTGCTTCCGTCCTTATGGTCCAAGGCGGAAAGGGGAAGCCGAAGAAGGGGATTAAGATTAAGGCTAGGACGGTCGGAAAGCCTAAATCGAAGTCCACTTCATCTGCAACCCAGAAACCTGTAGGAGGAGTTGCAAAGGGCAAATGTCATCACTGTGGTAAGGCAGGCCACTGGAGAAGAAACTGCAAGACATACCTCGCAACCAAGAAGAAGGAAGGTACGACCATTTCTTCTGAGGTGTATGTTATAGAAGTTAACATGTCTATATCTTCATCATGGGTACTAGATACTGGATGTGGGTCTCATATCTGTACTACCATGCAGGGACTGAAGCAGAGTAGACGGTTAGCTCGAGGCGAGATTGAACTCCGAGTCGGCAATGGTGCACCTGTTGCAGCTTTGGCAATCGGAACTTATAGTTTAGTCTTGCCTAGTGGTCTAATGTTGGAATTAAACGATTGCTTGTACGTTCCTGCAATTAGCAGAAACATTATTTCTGTTTCATGTCTTGATAAGAGTGGTTTCATCATTTCTATTAAAGACAAGTCCCTTTCCGTTTACAGAAAGAATGTTTTCTATGCTAATGCCAACATGACCAATGGGTTATATGTCCTTGACTTGGACATGCCTGTCTATAACATATCAGCCAAGAGGAACAAACC